GTTGAGAAGACATTGGATAAACGTTGGATTTGAAAGTTGTGTCAACCTCAGATAACAACGTTGTATCAACGTCAGAAAACAATGTTATATCAACCCCACCCAGCGGGAAATTATGTTGTTTGGATTAACATTGGATTTGAAAATTAGATCAACGTCAGATAACAATGTATCAACCCCAGTTGTTGGACAACATTCTTGCATAAAAAGACATTAAAATGACCCGAAATGTTTTTATTTTTGGTACAAAACACAGGTACACAATTATAACGTACACTGTAAAAACATCCAAGTGCCTGCTTTGTCTGATTTTTTCAACGCATTTAGCTCCTAAGCATGTTTTGCACCTAAGCATGGAACACCCTTTTAGCCTGGATGTGTTTAGCAGTAGGACATGTTTGATGGCTAAATATATGTAGGGTATAAATGTATGGCCTTTAAGTTAAATTTTCCAAGGCTTAGATTAATATATATAGTTGTTTTCTTATATATATTACCATGAACTGTCAACTTTATTACCATCACTCCATCACATTTACAGCAACTTATTCATCCTAGTGTTAGCTGACCTTGCAAGGAATTCAGTTTGTTGAATAACAAGATAAGAAAATTCACTAGTTCACTAAAGACACAAAACAACTGTCACTTTTACTTTAAAACCCTTTTGTTATTATTTTGATAAATTTAGTTACAGTATTGATAAACAAAGTATCACGTTTTCAATAATTAATATTTTAAATTACAATCCATAACTGCAAGGTTGTGTTAATGACCAAAATACAACGTTGAGTCAACGTCACATTATGACGGTGTTTTGACGTGGCTGGATCAATGTTGATTTTACGTGGAATTTAGGTAGACCAACGGCAATTCAACGTATCAACCTGTTTTCAACGTTGATCCAACGCGACTTTGCCTGCTGGGAGTAGGCCTACAGGTGTATAACAACAGATCATTCACGTAACGGCTCATACACGTGTCTGCTGCGTGTACAATCGATCAGGACGGATGGTTTACGCAGAACGGACCGTACACGTGACACCGGGATCTCTCGCACCAAAGGCGAGAACCATACCCCTAGACCAATGAGCCGCTGATATCCAGTCAACTTTGCATCAGAATTGTAGAATAAGTGATGAAAGTTAATTTTATACAGACATGGGGACAGTCATGCACGTGAACAATTAATGAACCCAAACTGTTTATTAACATGGCGTATTCATTTTAACAATTCTTATTTTGCCTGAGTAAAGGAAATGATATTTCCCTGGGCCATAAACAACATCTAACATATTATAAGATAGCAGATGCACAATGCAAATACCTGTATGTGTAGTTTTGGCCAAATGTCCATTGTTAGCATGTTTGGAATGATATTTGTATTCTTCGTTATTCAGTTGTATGCGACCAGCCCATGGAATATATCCACACCATAGTTTACTACAACAGTTAGAGCAAAAAGAAATGTCTTTCCTTTAAACGCAAACCTTTAAACCTTGGCTGTCTTCAATTAGTTGTGATAAGTGAAGTTGGAAATTACTATTTACATATTTTTCCTCTGTCGTTTCTGTTTACACTGTAGTCAACTTCATCACTATGATGTTTATTACTGTTTGTGACGAAACAACATACCTCATACCGGTAGACATTGCATCACGGTGTAACCAAGGAGTTATAACAGAAGGAGATTACACGCGTGGGGGCGGAGCCCGTTTTACGGTCTCTCATTGGTCGGAATGAATAGAACCCAGAGAACAATGGGTGCCTATCTCTGTTACGCTCTCGTTAAATCTCGTTTGTCAGAATAGGTGCCTTCGTCTATCGTTTCGAGAGGACACAAACAGAAACTGTTATAACTCCTTGGTGTAACGAAACTGAGTGTGCGCGTAATAAAAAGTCCGCCCTCCTCATTGTTGTAAAATGTAGGGCTCGTCCGGGATTTGAACCCGGGACCTCTCGCACCCAAAGCGAGAATCATACCCCTAGACCAACGAGCCGCTCATAATCAAGCATCTTTGCTTCAGAATTGTGAAATAAACGATGAACATTAATTTTACACAGTCACGCACGTGAACAATTAACAGTTCCTTGTATCATGTGAGCAATCAAGTTACAGATAAGGTGTATTTAAGGCGAATTTACAGTCTTCTTTAAAGATGCATACAAAGTCAATTTTTTGTCACAAAAAGCGACCAAATGCCAGCATATAGTTTCAAGTGGTATAACTAAGAGAATTACCAAAAGGCATTGTTTAATTTTACCCGAAAATGACGTTTGAACGAATTTTTCTGCTAGCATTCTATGCTGTGTGTCAATGGGGCAGAAAAGTAGGTCACGAAAGTAGGTTAAATTTCCAACCAAAAATTTAAAGAAAGGAGCAGTCTAAAGCTCTTTTATGGCTGTTCGAGTGATCTATTCAGTTTATCCCTTGGTATGTCGAATTTATTTGAGTCGTATAAAAACTAGTAGAAGTGGTTTACATGTGTTATTGGGAATCCACGCTCCACCGATGCTCGGTTCGTATGTACCTTTAAATGTCTCTTAAATTTATTTGAAAATAGGTTTCGCAGGACATAGCAAATTCATTTTACTTGACTATGAGATTCAATAACTAACAAGTAATAGTCTGTTTAGTTGCCCTAGAGATCAGACTTCTCTAACAACCCAAGACAAAGGAGTCAATTTTTGTGCCAACTTAAAAACAGAATGTGGTATGGTGTTCTCCGAGTGCTTTACTACAATTTTTAGTTACAAGAAAGTGGACCCTTCTGTAAAATCAATCCTTTGTGAAAAATTGAAAGTTGGTGCAGTATTCTGTCAAACAATTCAAACTAACCACACTGCTGAGACTTGACGCCCTTAATTTTTTTAATATTCTATTTTCCCTTCAATAACGTCGGATAAAACCATTGCAAAACACTTAATAAACCCATACTGTATATTACCATGATATATTTATTTGATTAGTTTATATTGTGCCTGAGAAAAGAAAAATGATATTTCCCTGAGCGATAAACAACGTCCGACACATTGTAAGATAACAGATGTACAATGCAAACAGTTTTGGTCAAATGTTCGTTGTTAGCATGTATTTGTATTCTTCGTTATGCAGTTGTTTGCTATCAGCCCATCAAATGAATCCACACCATAGTTTACTACAACAGTTAAAGCTTTTATGTCCAAGGTTAAAGCAAAAAGAAATGTCTTTCAACGCAGAAAAAGTTTAGCTCTCTTAAATTAGTTGTGATAAGTGAAATTGGAAATTGCTATTTACATATTTCTCAGGCTCTGTCGTTTCTGTTTACACTGCACAGTCAACAGAATCACTAAGATGTTTACTGTTTGTGATAAAAAAACATACGACATAGACGTTGCATCACGGCGTTATAACTTGACCTAACAATCGAAAGAGAAACGATATCTTATCCATGTCTTTAATCAAGCTGTCGTTGTCACAAAACTGAGCGTGCGCATAATACAAAGTCCGCCCTCCACATGGTTGTAAAATGTAGGGCTCGTCCGGGATTTGAACCCGGGACCTCTCGCACCCAAAGCGAGAATCATACTCCTAGACCAACGAGCATCTTTTATTCGACCGTCTTTGCTTCAAAATTGTAGAATAAATGATGAACATTAATTTTATACAGGCATGAGGACAGTCACGCACGTCAATAATTAACAGTTCCTTGTCACATATTAACAATCAAATTACAGATAAGGTGCATTTAAGGCGAATTTACAGTCTAGTTTAAATGCCTTGAGCTGGAGATCAAACTTTTTTAACAATCCAAGCCAAAGGAATCAATTTTTGCCAACTTAAAAACGGAATGTGGTATTTGTTCTCCGACTGCTTTATTGCATATTAAATTTGCGAAACACGATTGAATATTTAGGGTGGACTCTTCAGTAAAAACAATCACTTTTTAGGAATTGAAAGTCGGTGCAGTATTCTATCAACCAACTGAAGCTAACTGCTGAGACTTTTTTGTCGTATTTCTGTTTAGGCTGTAGTCAACAAATCACTGGAAATGACGTTTAATGCTTGTGACGAAAGAATGTACAACATAGACGTTGCATCATGACGTTATTATGTGACGTAACAATCAGCAGCAAAGAATGGTTTTCTTATCCTTGTTCTTTATCATCCCTTTTGTATTTATTATTTTAACATCAGAACAGATCGGCCATTTCTATTTTCTGCATACTGAGGAACCCATAGAAGGGTTATCATTGATATGTCCCCCCTCTGAGTTTTGAACCAGGTTGGTGTTAGTCCTCTTTCAGCAGATGAATTGTATGTACTACAGGTAGCCCATTCGAAGCAGCAAAAACTGAGAAGAGGTTCCTGCAAGTGTTTCTGATAATTGGTGTAAAACATAGGGCTCGTCCGGGATTTGAACCCGGGACCTCTCGCACCCAAAGCGAGAATCATACCCCTAGACCAACGAGCCGCCGACATCCACATTGTTTCTGCTTACAAACATTCCACTGCAATATTTTGCAATGAATAGTAGATCCTAACACCGTTGACAGTCACGCAAGTGAACAATTATGAGCGGCCTGGCGCGTGCCACACTTCCAACTTATTCTAAACTATTATCTCACTCTATTTGGAAAGGATGCACGTTACCTGTATATGGTGTGTCCTTAAACTTTACTTATACCACACACTGCAGTCATGTCATGTGGAGATGATCCTGAACTTCAAAATGCCAAGTCTGATGGTTTGGTCATAAACTTATATATTTGTACTATTACATAACAACCAGGCAACAAATCGTCGTATAAAATGGGCATGTGAGTACTAGAACATTATCCTACCTAGCGTGACCATTAAAATACCTGAGCACTAATTTAAGTTTAATATGCGGCGCCTATCTCAAACGTGACAGCCATGAATTAGACAGAGACATATCTGTGAATATGAAAAATGCATCTGAGACCTTGGTATATAAGGTGCTTATTGAGAAACAAGGAGACGAGATTTGCGCTAGATCATTTCGGATTCAAGAGGGAAGCGATATAGTAAGTGCTGAACATGACAACTATAAAGATAATTCTGTATACTGTTTAAGAGGCCCCTGATGTCGGAGGGTAGGTGCACGTTATTTCTCTCAAATAGCAAAATGGGACGTTTTCACTACATGTCGATGAAAAGGTAAATAGTTCGTTAAATTTGCTTGACGTATTCTTAAGAAAATGTTTTATGTGGAAGAAAAACAATTCGATATATTCAGTATTCAACAATCTGAAGAGAAATTTTGATATCAAATACCGGCGATTCGCAATTTTCCTGTGATGTCCTTGACAGTTATCCTCAGATTAAAGCAATGTTTCACAAACGCTGGAAACATTGATATCCGGTAGTTAAAAAGGCTGCTTACCCAAGGATAATTATCCATAGGATAACAATTTTTGAGGCGGATAGTACAATTCTCGATCTCGATCTCAGGGCCTACATGGCCATACAGGGTTTCGCATTCCCGACCCGAGAAATCTGGTTTTTCAGCGCGGAGTGTAGATGGCAGCAGGTCGGCGGCGCAGCGCGAATGCTTGAACTGGCAATTGAGTACGATGATGCCGAGTTATTTGATGCTGTAATGCATCTAAGTTAATTGGCAATCTCAGACTGCCTTCTTTTGACGTTAACTGGAGTCCCCAACTGTTCAGGAATATCTTGGGATTTGAACTGTCACCTCTGACTAATTACAACAAGACGAATAAACATGAATTTGATACTTGATGACTGGTTTATTTTAATCAAATAGTGTAAACAGAACAGTGTATAAATAAAACAGTGTACAAAAAAAAAAAAAAAAAAAATTCATAGAAAAAATAATTTTTTGTCCAACTTGACTGAAATCAACCCCCACCCATGTGCAGAACATCTAAAAGCCATGTCTACTCAGACAATCCAAGGAAACTTCAGTTGGAAAAATCAGTATGAAGAGTTAATTTTAACAAGACAGGACCACTGTTGAAAATGTGGATAGTAGTGGTTAGAATATTGGTTTCACAGTTTTTTCAGATTAACCCCTCACCTGCCACACTGACCACAAATGTGAGGGGTAATCTGAACAAACTCCGTGAAATATTCTATTCTGACCAATACCCTCCACATCCTGAAAAAAAAAATTCCAATTCTGGGCTGCTACTTTTCCACATGTGAGCCCATCTATATAAAAATTCACTCTTAACATCGTGTCACATTCTCGGTCAGCGCTCCGACATCCGGCGCCTGGTTCTCGGAAGCCGACAACGAGAACGCGAAAATAAGCGCAAAAAGTGATGACGTTATACGCAATTTCTTCAAATTATCGGCGCGCTGGTTCTCGGGCCGGGATAGCGAAACCTCCCTAATATTTTCGTACAAAATGTGCATATTCATTGTCCATATCAGATATTTCTTTTTATAGTCCCTTTGATCCTTTAATTATTGCAGAAATTTTATATAAATAGTAGAACCAATTTGGTCATTTTATAGGAACAGCTTTGGAACTTGACATGGACACTACTTTCGAAGCAACTGCAACAAAGTATATTGAGGAACATGGCGACAGAGACTTGCGACAGATCATTACTGACAAGATACCAGAAGGAGGCGATATGGTAAGGGCTAAATTAGACAACTAAATAAATTAACAATTTATTTAACCATCATATTTTCAAAGGGTTTGTTGAGTTTTTTTTTTCTGAAAATGAAACATTTCGTTATAGTTATCCATCGCAGTTTTACATACATGACTGTTCTATATTTGTGACTGAATGCTTAGCTGCCAATTCCAATAAACTGCATAATTAAACAATTTCATGTATTTGTATATGTATTTTACAATTTCCCTAATATATCCTTACCCCATTTTCCAAAACGTTCAATCGATGTCTTTAACACAGTCAGCACAGTTGTAAAAAAATTTCCAATCACGTACAGATGTAGAACCTAACAACTCACACATGTATTGCAGCACATTAGATTGTATATGTAAAAGTTATAAGGCGGTATTGTGTGATGATTTTACGTGTAGATAGCCATCTCTCAAATCTAAAGTAGACCTATTCAGTCTATTCAGTGATAATCAGCCAGATAACCAGTAAACGAATATTTTAGCTTATCAAAGGTATACTAGATCTTTTTTAGAGATTAAAGGTTCAATTTGTCTCTCTTGTACTCTGTTGATTATGTATCTCTTTATGTGTTTGTACAATTAATGCCATATTAATTCCTCATCTAAAATGCCCCTTTAATACGTTTTTCATGTCACAGCGTCCTTTTTATATTGCCAACTTGGATGACATAGTTAACAAGCACAAGCGCTGGGAGAAACTGATGCCACGTGTCAAACCCTTCTATGCCGTGAAATGTAACAACACTGAGCCAGTCGTGAAGACCATTGCGGCACTTGGGGCGGGGTTTGACTGCGCCAGCAGTTCTGAATTCCAACAGGTTCTGAAGTATGGAGTGCAGACAGACAGGATCATATATGCTCATACTTGCAAGGATCCCGAAGAGCTTAAACGTGCCTCAGAACTTGGAGTAGACCTCATGACATTTGACAACGAAGATGAAATAGTGAAAATAAAGCGTCTTTTCCCGGATGCCAAGCTCGTACTAAGGATTGTTCCACAAGTGCGAAAGGCTGTATACGATATGGGAAAGAAATTTGGATGTAATGTGGAAGATTGCCAGGGACTTTTATTGAAGGCGAAAGAACTGGAATTAAATGTCATTGGTATCAGGTGATTGTAATAACATTTGCGTTTATAGTTGTTTTATGAAGCTAGAGGTCAGTGATGATTTTTTAATATTTTATAAACAGACAGTAGTAAAGAGCATCCACAGACAAGACTGAAAACATGTTTTATCTTCTGTAAGTAGAGCCCCTGCTTCGCAATACATTTACTAATTGCTTATTTCTAAACAGCAGAATGTTTAATGAAGATTTTATTTTAGTCTTTAATACTGAAGTTCATGTTTTGGTGCATTTCTTATAGTGTTTGTTACAATCACAAGCATATTCAGATTATATCAACATAAGATATCCTTATATGCAAATTTCAGTTTCCACGGTGGTTCTAAGTGCCAAGACGCCTTTGCCTACCAACACACCATACTTTTATGCCGCGACATCTTCGATTTGGCTAAGACCATCGGCTTCAATTTCAACTTACTTGACATCGGTGGTGGCTTCCCCGGTTACGAGACTGGTGAGCACTCATTTTTTTCTGACATTGCCAACACCATAAACGATTCACTGGAAGAATATTTTCCGGAGGATGAAAATGTTAAAGTGATTGCAGAACCTGGGTGTTACTACGTAGAATCTGCTTTCACTCTTGCATTGCGTGTGATAGCCAGAAAGGTGGAGCAACCAGGCAAGTGGCTAAAGATTGAAGATTCAGAAAATGAGGACGACACAAAGAAATCCTTTATGTACTACTTGAATGACGGTCTTCATGGTTCATTCTTCTTTCACATTTTGTTTGAAGATGATGTACCAGACTTTTATGTTGTTGAGGTAAGTACTCCCAAATGTCTTTAAACGAGAAATGATTCTGTACAATGTAGTTATTGTGCAACAAAATTATCTCTCCGAATTTATATCTCATCACTTTCAAGTTTATTTCTATACAGTGCACAGGTAGAATATAAGATAACCAGTATATTACTCTTTTTCTTTAATGTGAAACTAGATTCCGTTGTATATTTTCATATTTATCCTGCCCTCCTTCCTAACTGAAGTGTTCTGAATTTCCAGAACAAAGATTCCATGCCAGTGTTCAAAAGCAGCTTATGGGGACCAACGTGCAACCCCCATGACTGTATAACGCAGGAGATAGAACTGCCCGAGCTGGACATCGGAGACTGGCTGTACGTGCCCAACATGGGGGCATACACGACTGTCGTCGTGACTTCTTTTAACGGGATGCCGACACCGAAAATCCACTATATTGCTTCAAACGACATCATATGTGAACTTGGACTTCAGCGTAATGAGTTTACGACTGTTAACTAAACTCCTTCAGACTTTGAGTATTGTGAGGCATAGGCCTATATATCTGAGAAGTCAGGATTTTGATAAATTTGCCCAAGGCACAGAAACGTTTGCCTCGTGTCACTTGTCAAATTTAAAATAGTAGGCGAGGGTAATTTCATAAGTAGGATTTTGTTTAGCATCGCTTGGTATACTATTTTATGTGAGGGGGAGGGGGTAGGAGGGGTGAAGGAGGGCGCGATCCTGTGGACCTTGATCAGTTTGTCATAACTACATGTAAATATATAGGACGAACAAATAACTAACAGAAACAATTAATGTTAGACCGATTGATAATTTAATGCCTTTCAAAGATGTAGCTTGATAGCATAGATTTAGATCCTATGAATAAGGGGCTATTCTAGATATCTTTATTGGTGCTTGTAAATGTAGGCCTACTACATGTATAAATTCAGCTACTAAAGGGAAAGATCATTGTGGTTCACTTGAATAATGGATGTGCAACTCTTGTTTGAACTTTTTTCACTCCACATGGGTTACGAGAGTGTGTGTGCTGTGTGTGTGTGTGATACACCTAGCTTATTTTATATATGTGGATAACATAAGATGAGATGATGTAAATGATTACGATGTATTATGTGATAACAAAAAATTAAATTATTCCATTTGGCGATTAAACATGACGCTGGAAAACTATATAGTAGCCTATGCTTAATGTAAAAAAATAAAGAAGAAAAAGCTTACCTTTAAAACTCTAGTTTGATAGTATATAAGAATCTCTTTTTTGCTGAAGTCTGTAGACTTAGATCTAGATCTACATATTTTTCTGAGCTGTTTATCATGTATGTTGTCAACGTATCACAAGGGAATGACGATCCAAACGCTTGTGACGAAATAATACAGGTTAGCGGCATTGCGTCAGAGCGTGATGACGTGACGTAATGATTGCTTGTTCTAGTGCAGCTTATTGCATGTCCTACCTGTTTTGTTACCTTTTTCATATAAGGTTACTTGATATCCCTACATGCAGAGAAAAACCAATTCTGAGCTAGACTTATCAGGTGAACATATAGCCAACGCCGAGTTTGAGCTACTAAACAATTATTTAGGCCTACTTGCTCGATAGAATTCGATATTTGAGAGTAGTTTGGTGTAAGCCTTAAGGCGGTCAAAATGCAAGTGTATGTTTTAATCGGCAGGAATAGAATGAACAAATAAATTCGATGCTGTCAAGAAACAACTGTAGTTACTATATCATGGCTAACAGATGGCGCAAGGATTTTTAAAATTTCGGGTTCTGCGCGAGGGGTGGTGGCCTGGGAAGCCTCTTGAGGGGCCCAAGATTTTTTTGTTCAGAAGGTCCTAGTTAGTGTAACGAAATAAGCAGGACATTTGTAGGGAAAAACGATAGTTATGGCGAGAAAAGTATAGGCCCTATATGTCTCAACTTTTTTCCGTTAAAAGAGTAAAAATGACACCCTGTTCCAGGGGGTTGTTCAATGTGAAGCTAACCTGTTATCCTAGAATAATAAATATTTATTTATTCTATTTTCATTGGTTGTCTTTTGTTTTGTGGGCCAACACATGTCTTAGTGTTACATTACAATAAAAGAAAACGGGATAAAAAGAATTTCTTGCCTTCAACTATCTGTGAAAATTGTTCATATGATACATACGTTACTGATACATACGTGACCAAAAATATGAAGGTGTTGTTTTCTAATTTCATTGATTGTTCTCTGTTGTCATGACTTTGTGAGTGCGTGCGACGTTGTATGTATCATATTTACGTAACAAAGAAGAATGAGCGACATAAAAACATGCATGCGCACGTAGGCCTATACAACGTCGTACTCACCCAAAGAGTCGTGACAAAGGACAACAAACAATGAAATAAAAAAACAACACCTTCACGTTATTTGGCAACGTATATATCGGAAAAGCGGGCCCTATCTATCATATAAACAAATTCAACAAACGGTTTCAAGACAAGTAATCTTTACTTGCCCTGCTTTTTTCTTTTTATTGTAGTCCCAAGTCCACGGCTCCAAAATTAAGCTCCAAATGTGCTTGAGATTTTAGAGTCTATGAAAGTTAAGATAACATTACATATAGATAGAAATGTAAAAGGTAATTGCTTCAGTAGTTCAGTGGATTGATGAAAATGAGATTCAGGTGTCTCCCTGGCTTGAGATGACATTTGGTTTCTGAGCACTAGCTGTGTAGGGCACAATTGTGATTGCTGAGACCGGCACAACAGGCCCTACCCTCACTGAAAGGTATAGATACACAGTAAATAAAACAGGATCTTTTTCTTTATCCGCTTAAATAATGCAAGAATAAACATTTTCGTGTTATGAGATAACGCTGTCACAACAAAAAATACATTGGAGTGAATTTGTTAATCGAGCTGATGCAGCAGTCGCGCAGTACTAAGCGGAAGTGACGTATTTTCCATAGGCAACACGCGCCATAGGGACATTACAAGGTTTTAATTATGTCAGGAAGACAAGGTAAATTGTGACTGTTTTCATTCACAAATTTTTACTGTTTTTGTTGGTGATTTACAAGATACTTTGAAGACTGTGAAGAATATGATGGATTGCATTTCAGTTAGATTTCTTTTGTTGATATTTGTTGTTGAATTAGTGTCAAAATCCGCCATATTTTAGTTTGTCGTTCATTACATTAGTATTACCACAGCGTAAGTCAAAACTTGATCAGTAAGTAACTACGACACAAGTTATTGGCGACAAACACTAAAACCTCGCTTTGAAACTACGCACATATATTATTTCTCAACTTCTAGTCCCACCAAAGATTATAATGACTTATATTTTTTACGACAGTGGTTGTACGTTGCATGTATAAGTTGAAATCCATACAGTAAACATTTCTTGCAGGACATAATTGGTTACTAGTAAGTCCACAGCACATCTCTCTCTCTCTCACACACACACACACACACACACACACACACACACGTATGGAACAAATCTGAAATTAAATGCAGCAAATTAATCCCAGAGCCTTTTTTCAGGAGGAAAAAAGAAGCCCTTGAAGCAGGCAAAGAAGGGACCCAAAGATTTGGATGAAGTAAGTCTAGTATTAGATGGATAATCAGAATAAATCGTCCCTATTGAAGGTTCTAGCATTGCAATTCACACACACACACACACACACATATATATATATGTTCTCTTTCAATTATAATTAATTAATTTTAGTTGAATATTTTCATTAAAGTAAATTAGAATCTGAGACAGAAAACAGTAAAGATATTGTTTGTATTGACAGTCTTGAGAGCTCAGTTGCTACTTTCATCTCTTCTGATGCATTGTATAAAAGTAGAAATTTGCTATTGGAACCCTGAGTCAGTGAACCGTAGAGCGTATTCAGAACAGCGGACTAACAGATATGGCCAACCCACTGGGAATCTATTCACTGTCTAATCAGGAATTAAAAGGCAAGCTTAAGTGGGTTACCATATTTGATTC